TAGATGAAGTTTGCCACACACACACAGACCAAAATAACTGTGTACTGAAAGCTGTTTTATAGTTCTGTTCAACCGCAGATTAATAGGTAAGATCTGATCACATAAGGAAATGTAATTTTATTGAAAAGAAATTTTAATGAAATTAAGAAGAACTTGTCGGGTGTTCCGTTTTGGGCTGCGAGCTTCTAATATGCAGTTTCCAAAACTCGCCACATTTGTTAAGCTTTTGGTCTAACCTACTGAATATAGATAAATTGCCCACAAACCAGCTTAGTTTTCACAGAGGCCCATACTCGTCTTTTTCCTAAAATGTTTGAATAAAATCTGAGTTTTATTTCAGTTATAATGTTGCAAACTATACTTGAATGGAGTTCTTCTGCGACATATTTGGGAGAAACAGGTTTTCTCGTGATGTCAACCGTCTGCAAAAACAACCCATTTCACATATGCACCATTGATCAACAGAATGAATGATAAGAAAACCAGCAGGAGAATACTTGCAATACTTGCGATACAGTGCAGCTTAATTATCCGCTCAGTGTTTGAAATAATCCTTTCTTTGGGCAAAAGTTTCACACCACCATAGTGTGAAGCAAAGAGTTTAACAAACCATGAACATGAGAAGATAACCTCCATTTTCAGTCCTGAGAAAACACCAGATTAACCAGGTTAACCAGCCAGAGCAAATATCACGTTTTCATGAACAATAAGTATCTGAAGTCATAACGAAAAGAACAATGAGATCCGGACTGGCTAGCTTCAAAATACTGACCGTTTTTGAGTCCATGCAAATGACATGGGCGATTAAAATTGATCCGCACAATTTTTCAGGTACCCAAACAAAACTGCACAGAATGGGGGTTAACTCAGAACCTTGAGCACCGCTACCATTCAAGCAGTTGGTTTTTCATTAGATGAATAAAATACTGAGAAAGAGTTTGATACTACCTCGTTGAACAATTATTTGAGTTCCTTAGCATTTGGGAATAATTGTATCCGCGAAATTGTTTTAGCACCGATCACATCTCACTGAACTTATTGTTGCTGAGATCACTCTCTCTCGACATGCATCCGATAGAGAAGTCTAGTGGTGGTTTTGGGTAGGATCCACTGCTCTTACCCGAGTCCACCATATAAACCTTTTATTTACAAAATCGATACCGAGGAGTAGAGGGTAGTGTGCTCAGTTAAATAGACAATATCCATGAATCGGAAAAATCGATTGACCAATTTACGGCAATGTGGGTTACGCCCGTGAGGGTTATTGCGATAGAAACAATCGTTAAATTTTATGTTTGAAATCACCTGTTTAGGCGCTGTCGGTGTCCCGGATGATAGGGCTCCTGTACTGTCCGATAAGCAGATAATAAATTTTGATTATCCTTAGGATCATAAAATACCTTAGAGTGTTAACACCAACCTGTTCACGCATGAGGCATTTTCATGGATAGTTTAAAAAGGTACTTTTAGTTGGACCTTAATTTTGGTAAAAGATATCGAAAATTAACCCAATGCAATACACTTATCTCCTACCCTGAAACCTATGTGAAATTTTATAATTTTTTTGCCGAGAAACGATTCAATTGTTTAAATATTCCTTGGGGACAATAGAAACATAAGCTGGTAAGTAATTTCCATAATAAAACTTTGACTTCGACTATGACTCAGAACCGGAGCGCAAAAGTCATTCAATTTTTCCATCTGTTTTTCATGAAATTCTTTTAAACAGGTGGCTTATTAGTAAGTGGAATAAATGAAAAATATGTTGACACCAAAGAATAGGATGAAATCCGTCAAAAAAATATAATTTCACGGCAAATTTCTTTTTTGTGTACAAAGCAAACAATAAGTGAAGTGAAAAACCAGAGGAAGGTTTGCAGCTGCATTGACCTGAGTTGGTCTCATCAGCAGTGCGAATCCATCGACCCAAATGAGGATCGAACCTGTGACCTCATAAGTAGAATGCAAACGAAATTCAGAGCAATTCGGGGCAGGCAATTTTACCAAAACCATTCTGAAACAAAAGACAATAGTTGCTACAGCGGTGATGCTAAATCTGCTTTAGTTCTAAAAATCCAAGTCGAAGCATTCGTGAACATTAAAAATACATCAAATCGTATGGTATCATCTTTATCTCCTCAGATGAGGCGGTTACAACATTCATGTGGTTTTTGTTACACCATTGTCCTGATTTTAAAAGTACTCTCATGAGTAGGTAAATATTTCAAATAACTGGTGAAACAGACGTTCTATTGCCCGGATATCACCGAAGAGCAATCCGAAGATCTCTGTGACGCGGAGAGTGACGGTAACCAGCATTTATTGGCACGTTCGAGCGAGAGAGACAAGTAGCAAAAAAAGCAACAGCAGTACTTACAGTGATGCACAGGGATTCGAGTGAAAACATGCGATTATGAGACACCAGAGGGCAAAACTAGTCGGCAGAGGTTTATTTATTTAGGAGAGAGCATAACAAGGCTAGGTTGCACGATTTACGCCAAGGTGAACTTCACTGCATCTCAGCTGGTGCAATACGGCGGAAAACGACAGTTTCACACGAACACGACAAGGCCAAATAATCACAATTTTGCCATTGCAATGCAGCGATTGTATGAGTGACAGTTCTTTTTGCACAGAAAGACTAGGTTTCCATCTCCTGGTGGAAACCGGCTCCGCAAATCTAAGCAGCCAGTGGTTGGTTTTAGCATAACTGACCCAAAACTGGGTAGTTGGGTAGGGATCAGTATTCGTCATCAACAGATGTCGAGCGATAGATGACAGGTTGTTTGCGTGTTCGTTGTTCTTGTCTAAGGGTGGCAATTGGTAATCGTGTAACGTGGCTGAGTGTTGGTGGTGGGTGATGCTTGTGTGTGAATTTGAGAAGTCAAATTGTTCAAGTTACTTGGTCATTCTGCGTCCAACCCAACACG